CCCCGAGCACTTCACAGCTGTAAAGCATGTCACACACACTGCATAACGTACTCTCCTGGGAGAGGAGACAAACAGTTTAATCTTTGCTCTGCAGAGCACTGTGAAACGGGCAGCCACCTGAAGCGTCCCGTCCCAAGCCACACCCTAGGAACCAGAAGTTACACAGGAGTGTTTTGAACGTCTGTTACAGAGGATTGGGGCCCTTGCGTGCTGGGTGCAGTACCACACCTACTGCCTTCACTTGAGCTTACAAATCAAAACACATGGACCAGCTGTTGGGTGGGGAGAAGAATACAACCTGTCTATCCGCTCATCAGGCGGTTATTTTTTTTTTATACTATTGAAGGTCACGTGCCTATAAAGAAGTATCTGCCTGATAAACCCCGATTCCCGCCTCCTCCTGCTAAAAGCTCTCACGGCGCAGAGCAGAGTCCCGGCTTTTTAAATAATTCTCCAGTCACACAAAAAGCTCTGCTCGCCCGGCTCCCAGGATTACAACAGACCCTCAACGCAGCCGACCAACCCGCCGCTCCCCACGAGCAAACTAAAGAGTTGAATGCCTGGGGATCGGAAAAGAAAGGGAGCGATTGAATCTGTTTTTGAACCACGATAATCTCCCCCGAGGGGAGGTGCACCGTTCCCGGAAGAACTGCAATACCGGGTCGATGCGCGGAGTGGACGGAGCAAGCTCCTATTCCATCTCCCTGTTCCAAAAATCCATTTAATAAATAGTCCTCGGATAGAGGACGTATCAGATATTAAACTGATAAGAACAGATTTAATAATTTTATTTGAGATAATGTTGAAATAAGGAACGGTACAGAGTTCAAGCATAGGAGTTTCTGGTCGTCAGGGGATAAGGTACAGATTATCGAGGGGTGCAAAATGCGATTTAGGAGCTGGTGGAGCAAGGATCACATAATAATCTGCAAACTCCCCGACTGGGGGAAAAGTTCAACCGGTCAGAGTACAGACATCGAGATAAGGGGTAAGTTATCCACACAACAGCTACATTCGGTATGCTGGGTATAGTGAGTGAATACGGGGTGGGGATGGGTCTACCCTCATTTGGTAGGGTTTAATGTGCAGCGGGTTTACGGTTCCAGTTCATACGGTCCGATGGGGAAGGCCTCTCAGTCTCTTTCCCACAGTGTGTGCACAGTGTCGTACCGGCTCACTCCTCCTGGTACTGTCGGTGGCCGGTGATGTGCTCGATATAGATGTCCCTGGACCATCGGATGGTGTCCGAGACCATGAGGCGCCGCATGAGCCGTGCGTAGCGTCTACCGATCCCGCAGGTCCGCAGCACACGCTCGTTGCAGGGGGTCCCAAGCGCCCAGGGCTCCGACAATCAGGGCGTCCAGCTGCACCTCGTAGCCCTTCGCTCTCAGGGTGTCGGCCAGAGGGGCGTATTTTTCCAGTTTCCGAGCTCGAGCTTCTCGGAAGGCCGGGGTCCTGTTCTCGAAAGGGACCGTAATGTCGACGAGGATGATCTTTTTCTGGGTTTCGTTGGTGACGACCACGTCGGGTCGTAGCGGGCTGTCGGTACCGGAGATGGCGCAGTTCACGGCGACCTCCCCCAGGCTAGGTGAGATGGCTTTCACCAGGCGGTTCTGGATGGCGTTGTGGCGCAGCTGCCAGGCTCTGGAGTGGGGCTTGCAGCTGCACAGGACGTGGGGCAGGGTCTCGTTGGAGTAGCCGCACTTCCTGCAACGCTTGTCTCGGTTCCCGTGGCGGACGGCTCCGTTGAGCGGGACGCAGTTGAGCCGGGCGCGGTGGATGAACCGCCAGTCGGCGAAGCGGGTGAAGCCGCCCCCGGCGAGGAAGTGGTTGCTGGCGTCCCACTTGCTGGTCAGTTCGAAGGCTTTTCCCTGGTCCGGCTTGCGCTTCAGGGCTTCTACGTACAGCGAGTGGGTGGCTGCCTTCAGGGTCTTTTCCAGCAGGCCCCTGGCGCTCGGGGTGACGATGGTGTTGCCCTCGGACCCGATCTGTGGCACCAGGACACCCAGCTCCTGGCGCTCCTCATACCACTCCCAGCGGCAGCCGATGCGTTTCCCCAGGCGGCGCGTGGCGTTGCGGGCGCGGGACCACAGCGAAGCGATGTCGCCCCCATCTCGGCCGAATTCGCCGTCCAGGGAACCGCTCAGGAAGCTGGCGGTGTCTTGGCTGGACGGGGCTCTACCGATCCGCTTTTGCGTTACGTCGTGGAGGGCTTTCGCTGCGATGCTCTTGACCGTGGCGTCGGGGCACGTCAGCAGGCGGAAGGCGTGGGTGATCACTGCGATGTCACCCAGGTCACCCATGCGGGGGACATTGGCACCGCCATGCCTGTGGGTGATATAGACCAGCTCGTTGCTGGCTCTCTGGGGAAGGAATAACCACTTCTTCACCAGCTGCCGGATGACCTTGTCCGCCTTGTTGAGGGGTACCTTTGCCACGGCGGAGCCCCTCAGGACGAACGAGATGCGGGGGATCAGGAAGGTGTTCAGGGCGTTTATCTTTTGCCACGGTGCTAGCAGGGAGGGGTCGGCCTTTGGGGGTTCCCTGTAGGATCTCTTGGATGGTGTCCTCGGGCGTCTGGCGGACACGGAAACCCGTCGGTGTGCCGAGGTGTCGGTAGGCCTGCCCCTCTGCCAGGGGGATGACGGGCTCGCCCTGAATCTGGAATTCCGTCCCCTGTACGGAGTCCCTTTTGCTGCCATCTATGTGGAGGGATGCGCATTTCTTCGCATTGAAGCGGAGCCCCATCCAATCGGCAACTCGACTGGTGGCATCTAGCATACGCTGGAGGTTCTCTGGGTCGTCTGCGGTCAGGACCAGGTCATCCGCGTAAGCCAGGACACTCACCCTCTCGCCGTGGAGGTTGAAGCCGCCCGCGCCCTTGGAGATCGCTCGCAGTAGCGGCTGTAGCCAAAAGGCCGAGAAGCGATACCCCTCCGCTGAGCTGTTCTGCAGCCCACCCGTTCCCACCGCTCTCCACGCCACGGTGACCGCTGCCGCTGAGCGGCCCTAACGCCACAGCCATGCTCCGACCACTTCCACTCGACTCCGACTGCCTTTGCCTTTCCGCTCCATTTTCACCAGTCGGAGCCAACCGCCTCCGGCCTGAAAGTTCAGCTTCAAAACTGCTCCATTCCTCCAGCTTGTTCGCGGTCGCCTTGTCACTCGTTTCTCTGCCCGGAAGATTCTCTCTATTTGCATGAAGCCGGCCCCTTCGCTGCAGCGTGCTGACGGCACCGGCTTGCTCACCCTGGCCTCGCGGCCCCGCTCGCGCCCCCTGCAGCACGCGCGACTCAAGCACTTTTTTTTTTTTTTTACCTTCCCCGCGGGAATTCAGTGCGCAGGGCACATGAGCTGCGCCTTCTCTTCGTCCTGCCGGAAGCCTGCAGGTGGCGCTGTTACACACCGGGGAGGGGCCACCCTGGGGCCTGTGCTGGGACCCGCACCTGAAGGGGGGAACAGCAAATTGCGGCTGCCGGCAGGCCCCGCCCCCCAGCAGCGGCAGGCCCCGCCCCCAGCTCCCGGCGGGCCTTGCGGCAGCGGCCGGCGCGCTCGGTGCTCGGGTCCCGGCATGGAGCGGGGCGGGCCCGCGCTGGAGCTGAAGCTGTGAGCGGCCCAGGAGATGGGGCTGCCCCCCGGGAAGGTGCCCCCCGACGGGGCCTTCCGCCGGTGAGAGCCCCGGGCCCCCAGCGCGGGACCCCCCCCGTCTCCCGCCCCCCCGGACCCTCCCCCCCAGCTCGGGGCCCCCCCGGCTCCTTCCCCGACCCCCCCCCAGCGCGGGACCCCCCAGCTCCCGCCCCCCCCCGGACCCTCCCCCCCAGCTCGGGCCCCCCCGGCTCCTTCCCCGACCCCCCCCCCAGCGCGGGACCCCCCCCGTCTCCCGCCCCCCCGGACCCTCCCCCCGGGTCCTTCCCCCGCCCCCCCGGACCATCCCCCCCAGCTCGGGGCCCCCCCGGCTCCTTCCCCGACCCCCCCCCAGCGCGGGGACCCCCCCCGGCTCCCCCCCCCCCCGGACCCTCCCCCCCAGCTCGGGCCCCCCGGCTCCTTCCCCGCCCTCCCCCCCAGCGCGGGACCCCCCAGCTCCCGGACCCTCCCTCCCTCTCCCAGCACTGGCACCCTCCGCCTCCCGCCCCCCGCTCCCCCCCCGCATGCTCCCGGTCTCCTTTTGTTCCGCGGGTTTCCGTTTTCCTCCTTGTCGGCGGGCTCCTGCGGCTCCCCCCCCGGCCACCTTTCCCCTGCTCCTTCTGGGTCCCCGCTGTGGGGGCGGCCTCCCTCTCTCCTCGCATCCTGCCCCCCTGGTCCTCCTCCCCCCTTGGCTCCTCTGCTCCTTGGTACCTTCCTGCCCCAGCCCCCAGCCCTCCACCTTTCTTCCCCATGGGTTCCCTGACTGCCCTGCTGCCCCCACATCCCCATTCACTGCCCCTTGATTATATCCCAGCTGTGGGGCCAGAGGCCCCCCCCACACACACACACACTCCGCTCTCCCCCATAAAAGGGCCTCCCAGCCCCCTGCCAGGTTACCCCCGAGCCCTGTGAGGGGGAGGGAAGGAAAAGGGGGTATCCAGCCCTGGGGCAGGGACGTGGGGGAGGTATACGGCCCTCAACCAAGGGCAACCCATGCTCCTCGTAGGGGTTTCCGGTCGCGTCCCCGTGGGGCTGATGCTGTTGCTCTGTATCCCCAGGATGTGCTCAGGCCAGTGTGCGGAGATCTGGAGATACGTCACCCGGCATGTGCACCACCAGAGGTGAGAGGAATGGGGTTCGGCGCCTTTCCCCTCAAAGGGCCGCTGGCTCCCACCCGGCCCCAGGGCGGGGGTCTGGCTGGCTCAGGGGGGCAGCAGCGGGGAATCGGACATGGGGCCTTCTGCTTTTCAGGTCTCCTCCCAGAGCCAGGGGTAGAACCCAGGAGTCCTGGCTCCCGTCCTCCTCTGCTCTAACCACTGGACCCCCTCCGTTCCCAGAGCCATTGCTGCTTCTGCAGTAGATTCACCCCTCTCTCTTTCCTCACAGGAATGTGAAGAAGATCCGAGGGAACTTGCTGTGGTATCCTTTCCTCGTTCCCCTTTGCCGTGGGGGCTTGTTACTATGGGCAGCTTTTTCACCAAGGGGCCCATCCAGCCCAGTGTCCTGCCCCGTCCCTGCCTAGACCAAGCCCCTGGGCCCATCCAGCCCGGTGTCCCCTATGCCCTATAGGAGCGGGTTTAATTTCCTTGCCGACCCTTGGCTGGCGTCTGTCTCCTGGCCTTGGACCTCGAAGCCTGCTGGCTCCGAGCTCTCCCTGACGTCTGTGTGTCTGTCCGTCTGTCCAGGCCTCTGTCACTCTCTACGTTCAGCCTCCTTTACTCAGGCCTTGCCTCAGGTACCAGCATCTGGAGGAGGCAGAGGTGAGGGGGGCCGGTGGAGACTGCTGGGTGGATAGGGGCGTGTGGGTGAGGGCTGTGGGTGGGATGGGACGGGACGGGTGTTGTGGATGGGATTGGGTGTTGCTGTGGCGGGTGGGGGAGTCGGTAGGGGATGGTAATCTGGATTTGGAGGGGCGGGGAAGGGGATCGGGGTGCTGTGAGATGGGATAGAGTGGGTCAGGGTAGGGGATGGGGTCGTGGGGCAAGGTGAGGATCAGGTGGTGCTGCGGGGTGGAATAGGGTGGGAGCAGTGGGTGGGAAGTGAGTCGGGGTGGGATCGTGGTGCAGAGGGGTCCTATGGCATGGGATAGGGTGGGGGAGAGTGGGTGCCTTGTTGCTGAGCTGTGGATCTGGGAGATGAGGGTGGGGGATTGGGATTGGGGTGCTGCAGGGTGGAACAGGGGCCTTGCCGTGGGATGAGCAGGATGCCTGGGTCTGTAGCAGTCGGTGTCTCCCCCTCCACACAGGGAAAGCCCAGTGGGTCAGAACCAGAGCAGGAGCGGCGCCAGCAGCTTGCCCAGGGCGTGGCCCGCCTGCGTGGGGAGCTGCAGCAGCTGGACCTGCAGATGGAGACAGCCCAGCGCGAGGTCATGGCTGACGGTAAGGGGGGAGCCCCAAGGATCTGGGAGGCGGCGTAGTCTGTGCCTCCAGCGCTCTACCCCAGGCCATTGCTCTGGGGGTGGGGGGCACAAAGTCCACCCCAGTCCTCCCATCTGTTCTCCCCCAACACCCAGTGGGATCGTCCCCCTGCAGCCCAAATCCATTTCCCCCCATTTCTTTGTGGGGGGCGGGGCAGGATTGTTCCCTTGCCTTGCCGTCTTTGGGGGTAGCATCTCCCCACGTGGTCTCTTCCCCATCCGCAAGGTTCCCGTGGCCCCTGGGGCTGCTGATTTTCCCCCATGGTCCCTCCCCAGACAATCACCTGTGGGGTTCACACCCATCACCTCAGGACTCCTGGGTTCTGGGAGCGGGGCAGGGGGGTGGGAGAGGCTGGGAGCCAGGACTCCTGGGTTCTATCCCCAGCTCTGGGAGGGGAGTGGGGCCTTGTAGTTAGCGTCTGGGGCTTGGGGTGAGGTTTCCCTGATGGTCTTTCTGCTCCGACCCCGCAGAAGTCTCCCTGGAGGCGGCCCAGGAGCGGATCCGTGACGCCCAGCGCCGCTCCCTGCTGCTCAAGGCCTATGCGGCCCGCCTGGCCAAGGAACGCCAGCAGCTGCAGGGCAGCGTAGCACAGCTGAGGGGGCGGCTGGAGCAGCTGAAGGACATCAGCAGGTGTGTGGGGGGTGGTTCCGTCCTTAGCGTGGGGTCCCCACTGCTCCTGGTCGCGTCCCCCGGAATCCTTTGCTTCTGAAGCACTATCCGGTGGACATCTCTGCTGGGCAGTAGCTCCCAGAATCTTTTGCTCCTTGGTAGGGGGTCCCATGGCAGGTGGCATTAGGGATTGGGGATTGCCTATCCTGGGTAGCATCTCTCAGTATCCTTTGCTCCATGGCAGGGTCCCGCTGGGTATGGGGGGGGGGGGGGGATGTCTTGAACTGTGCTCCCCCTTCCTCTCCTTCCCCTCCCCCCCCCCCCCCCAATTTTCACAGCCTCCTCTGGTCTCTGCAGAAAGGCCAAGGTGGAGCTGACGGTGGGAGGGAAGCTGCCTGACCTCGGATTTGCTGGCTTGGAGCCTGAAGTACTGGTGAGTACTCCCTGCTGCTCAAGGCCTATGCCTGGCCTGGAACGCCAGCAGCTGCAGGGCAGCGTAGCACAGCTGAGGGGCGGCTGGAGCAGCTGAAGGACACCAGGAGGTGTGGGGGGGGTGGTTCCGTCCTTAGCGTGGGGTCTGCAGGTTTCTTGAGGGACATCGTGTCTTCCCCACCCCGGTAACCCGTCCGCGTGTCTGTCCCTGTCTCCGCAGCGGGACGTGCGGACGGCCTGCCAGCTGCGCTTCCACTTCCTGAAGTCACTCTTCGAGCACAGCACATCTGGGGCCGTCCCGTAAGACCCTGTGAGCTCCCCTGCCCTCTCCTTCCCCCGTGCTCTGTTTCTGACCCGCCTCATGTGTCTCTCTCTTACCAGCAGGACAAGCGAGGAGCTGCTGGACGCGTCCTACCAGCACTGGCTGAGCACGGTGGAGGTAACGGAGGGGAGGGAGGGAGGAGCAATGGGGTAGGGACCCTAGGGACGGCTCGCCTGCTACAGAGATGCAACCACCTCTGGGAGGGGCAGCTGGGCGCCCCTTAGCGCCGGGCTGGGGCATTGAGGCAGCCCTGACTGCCAGGGGAGAGCCCCCTGCCCTGCTCCCTGCAGCGCTGCGCCCTCTAGCCCCGTATGGGGCATTGGAGCCAGCCGTGAGGGAAAGTACAGCGTCCCTGGCCCACTCTGGCTCATCCCACCTCTCTGCCTACGCAGGACATCGTGGGTTCCTACCCTCCCAACCATGTCCTGGCAGCCCTGGAGCACCTGGCCCTGGAGAACACCCTGCAGATGCAGGAGCTCACCAGCCGCATTGACATTCCCCGCGACGTAGAGGCCCTCAAGTGGGTACCGCTAAGGGGCTGACAGTGTGGGGGTGTGGTGCTGTACGGAGCTATCGCCCCCCAGTGGTGGTGGCTTGTACTTGGGGGTGGGGGCAGAGTCAGAGCTCGAGAGAGAGGGGTGCTGTGGGGCTTTGGCCCCCTGGTGGTGTCAGCTTGTACTGCAGGGAGCAGAGTCTGGGCTCTGGGGCCTGTCACCCCAGTGGTGCTGCAGTGACCCATGACACCAATGCTGGGACCTGTATCTCTGTCCTCTGACCTGCAGGTTCCGCTACGAGAGCTCCCGTCTGGAAGACCTGGCGGGGCCGCCAGCAGCCCTGCCCTCAGTCCGGGGCCTCATACAGGTGAGTGGGGGCATGGGGAGGGGCAGGCAGGGCCGCATGTGGGGGCTGGGCAGTGCCAGTGGCTAGGATATAGTGGGGGGGAGGGAGCCACATCCGGGGCTCCTGGGGTCTGGGATATATCAGGGGGAAGGGGCTGTATCTCAGTGCTGGGGGGTCCCAGGGACAACAGGGCCCATATCTCCAGCTGGGTTATAGTGGGGGGAGGGGGCAGAGTCCCCTGGCCCCTCCTTACCTGCTCCCTCCCCCGGCTGCAGGAAGGCTGGAGCAGGTGTGAGGAGCTGTGGGTGCAGCAGCTCCCCCCTACAGGCCCGGGAGCAGCGCTGCACGGCCCAGCTGGCCTCCCTCGTGCAGGAGATGCACCGGCTGGTGGCGGACGGCTCGGAGCACGCGATCCTCGCCAGGTAGCTGCTGCAGGCCCTGGGAGACACCCCGCCCCCTGAACACAGGGATGGGGAGAGAGAGGGGAGCAGGTGAGATGGCTCAGGTGTTCAGGTGGGAGCAGCCGGGGCAGTTCTCCCTGCCGGCGGAGCACCGCCAGGGCCTCACCTTGCAGCAGTGGCTGGAGCGCTGGACCCTGGCCCTCAAGACCCTCCAGCAGCACAGCTGGGCCTGATGGCCCCGTCCTGCCTGGGAGGGGCTTGGGGAGCCCCGCCCCCAAAGGGGTGCAGTTGTAGGTAGCCACACCTGTGTTAGGGAAGGAGTGTGGGTCCTCTGCGCTTTAATAATCTGTCCCCGCAGCGCAAAGCACAGCTGCACAGGACGTGGGGCAGGGTCTCGTTGGATTAGCCATCACTTCCTGCAACGCTTGTCTCGGTTCCCGTGGCGGATGGCTCCGTTGAGCGGGACGCAGTTGAGCCGGGCACGGGGGATGAACCGCGAGTCGGCGAAGCGGGTGAAGCCGCCCCTGGCGAGGAAGTGGTTGCTGGCATCCCACTTGCTGGTCAGTTCGAAGGCTTTTCCCTGGTCCGGCTTACGCTTCAGGGCTTCTATGTACAGCGAGTGGATGGCTGCCTTCAGGGTCCTCTCCAGCAGGCCCCTGGCGCTCGGGGTGACGATGGTGTTGTCCTCAGACCTGATCTGCGGCACCCGGGCCCGCTCTTTTCCTCCCCCCGACCCCAGTCCCCTACCGCAGGGCAGGCAAGCTCCCCACTCCCCCACCTCTTCCCCCAGCCTGCTGGGTGCCTGCCCCGTCTCCTCTCCCTCCCTGCCGCCCATCAGCTGAGGGCCCTGGCAAGGGAGGGGGAACCACAGCGCGCTCCCTGCTCCGGGGAGGAGGCGGAGAAGAGTTGGGGATGGGGTCTTGGGGAAGGGGGGTGGAATCTGGGCAGGGGGCTGGGAGCACCCCCACGACCCTAGCCCCTGCCCCCAGCCCTCTGCTCTGACCGCTGCACCCCCCCATGAACTCAGCCCTGACTCCAGCACCCTGCACACATACCCAGCCCCCCTGTCCTGACTCCAGCACCCCACACACAGCCCCAGCCCCCCCCATGCCTTGGCTCTTGCACCCCCCACATTCCCACCCCCACCCCTCGCACCAAATGGGAGCTGCCCAGCTACGCACTCGGCACCCAAACCTCCTGCCCTAACCCTGAGCTCTCTCCCTCATTCTAGCTCCTGGCCAGACCCTACACCCCAACCCGCAGCCTCCTCCTTCACTCCCACCCTCAGCTCAGTGCAGAGAGAGGAAGCGAATAGGCTAGAACCAGGGAGAAGGAAGGTACCCACTCTATGTGGGCGGGACCCAGATCCCAGACTGGAAGCGGGATGAGTGGGGCCGACACCCGGGACCCTGGCTGGCAGGAGCCGGCGGACGGAACCCGAGACCGGCAGCGGGCTGAGAGGTGCCCCTGGGGAGAACCTGCTGCTTAAAAGAATTAAAAGTCAGCTGCCTCGTGTGGCTGCGGGTCTGTTCCCGGGAGCTGGGGGGTCAGCGGGTCAATCCCCGCCCCCGGCACCCGCTGCTTTCTCTGTCCGCATGAGCTGCCTCGCTCCTCTCGCCGCTGCCGCCGGACGCGGCTGATCTGCATAACCCCGCCCCCCGACAGGGGACCCGCCCCGCGCTGGGTGCTGTGCTCCGCCGCAGCCCCCCTGCCCCTCTCGGCCCCGCCCAGCTCTCGGCCTCAGCCCCGGGGGGCGCCTCCGGCCGCCACTGGTCCAGCCACCGCCCTGGACTCAGCTCGGGGAGCCCGGCAGCGAGAGCCGGGCTGTGCATGGAGGGGAGTTTCTGGGGGTGCGGGGTGTGCAGGGGCGACGGAATTTCCGGTCCCTAAAAGGGGGGGGCACCAGCGCCGGAACGTGGCCACCCCCCTCCCGCGGCTCCCCTTCCTCCGAGCCCCACCCTTGCCGCTCCCCATCCCTCAAGGCCCCGCCCCTTCTCCCAAGTTCCCCCCGGCGCTTCACTTTCTCCCCGATCTCCTGCCCTCATGCCGCCTCTTCCCCTGAATCCCCGCCCCTGCACTGACCCTTCCCCCAAGGCTCTGCCCGGTGCCGCCCTTTTTCCCCAATTCTCCAACCCCGCATTGCCCTTTCCCCCAGACTCCGCCCCCACACCGCCCCTTTTCCCCAAATCCTGCCTCACACCACCCCTTCCCCCCATCCCCGCTCCCGCATTGTCCTATCCCTCCAGGGCCTGCCCCTGCCTCGCCTCTTCCTCCAAGGATCCGCCCTCGCACCGCCCCTTCTACCGCGGCCCTGCCCCCGAACCGCCCCTTCTACCGAGCTCCCACTCTTGCACCGCCTCTTCTCCCAGTCCCGTCCCCGCCCCTTCCCCTGAGTCACCACTGCCACGCTGCCCATTCCCCCCAAGTCCCTGCCCCCTCACTCACCCTTCCCTCTAATCCCCACGCCTGCACCGCCCCTTCTCCCGAGTCCCCACTGCCACGCTGCCCCTTTCCCCCCCGATTCCCCTGCCTTGCACCGCCCCTTCACCTGAGACCCCGCCCATGAACCGCCCCTTCTCCCGAGGCCCCGCCCCTGCACTACCCAGCAGCCCAGGAGCAGGCGAGAGTGGGGAGGCAGGAGGTGTGACTAAGCGGGACTGTTCTTATTTCCTCTGAATAGTGTGGAGGTGCCTCAGTTTCCCCTATGCAGTTCTTAAGTATGTATGATCGTTGCAGCGCCCTAGAGGGCAGGTGTGTGCAGGGGTCTGGACACAGAGAATGGCCGACACCCTGTTTCCTGGCAACTGATGGCCTGGTCCTTCCACCCTGCAAGGTGAGAGCTAAAGGGCTGGAGAACAAAGGAATCAGGCGCCCTCCTGGCCTGGGACAGGGGCAAAGCCCAGAGGAGGAGGGGCTGGAGGGAGTTTCAGTTTGGGGCTGGCTGGAGACATGGAGTGAAGGGCAGACGTGGTTGTCTGGCTCACTGCCCCCCAAAATGGACCCAGCTGAGGGGTCCTGTTCTCTGCCCCTACAAGCTCTGTGTGAGACGATGTTCCTGTCGTCTAATAAACCTTCTGTTTTACTGGCTGGCTGAGAGTCCCGTCTGAGCGTGGAGTTGGGAGGCAGGACCCTCTGGCTTCCCCAGGACCCCGCCTTGGCAGACTCGCTGTGGGAAGCGCACGGAGGGGCAGAGGATGCTGAATGCTCCGAGGTCAGACCCAGGAAGGTGGAAGTTGTGTGAGCTGTGTGTCCTGGAGACAGTCTGCTCACAGAAAGGAGACTTCCCCAGAGTCCCGACGGGCTTCGCAGGGAGCAGTTTCAGAGCATCTCCCGGGGACTCCGTGACAACTGGTGGCAGCGGTGGGATCTACTGCACCCTGTGGATGGCGCTTCCTGCAGTAAGTGGTTGGGGAGCAGTAAAATGAAGGGGGATTGATGAGAATCAGGCGTGCTGAAGGCTCAGAGAGGAGCAGTTTTGGGGGGCGGTTAACCCCTGGGAGTGTGTGACCACCGAGAAAGACTGTGCAGTAATGGGGTCCCCCTGGGGACTGCAGTGAGCAGTGTCAGGGGCGGAGGAGCCTGCGGCTTGGCCCTGGGAGAGAGAAGGACTTTTGCAGTAACAGGGTTCCCCTGGGGATTTCAGCAAGCGGTCCCAGGGGCGGAGGAGTCTGCAGCTCGACTATGGCACAGAGGTGGTGACCTCGAGAAGGGCTGGCACACTGGGGTTCTCCCTGGAAACCGTGGGGAGCTGAGAACGCACAGGCCTGTGAGTCCACAACAACTTGGGAATAGTGGCGTGATGGCCTGTGGACACTGTAACCCTGTGCAAAAAGAGGGTTGAGCATTGGAAAGTTCACCAAAGCACAGTTCATCATGCAGCTGGAGGAGGATGACCGCTCTAAGGAACAGATTCCTGACCCCAAATGGGGCTACAGCAGGATCTGGGAGCAGCTGGAGTGGTAGCCAGGCATCCCGAAGACTCCTGTCCCCGACCAGACGGGGGTCTTCACGATCGGGTTCCCCATCGGGGGATTGGAGACGGATGGGATTGGAGCTGAGTCCGAGAGAGCAAGAGGACTGAGAGAGACGGCGAGAGCCCGAGAAAGAGCTGCAGCAGCAGCATGAACTGGCGATGGTGGAGCGGAGAGGCCTAGGGGACCTCCCAGGGGTGAGTGGGGATAGACCTTGGGGGGGCCAGTTCCACAGGGAACCTCCATACTAAATTGCTGCCCCTCGTTAAGGAGGTGGGGATGTGGATGCCCACCTCACTGCCTTTGAGCAGGCTGGCAATTTGAACAAGGGGGACCCTGCGGAAAAGCCCTGGTGTCTAGCTCCCTTTCTGGGTCCCAAGGCCGTAGACTCCGTCAGCCAGATGGGTGGAGAGGTGGGCAGGCTCCCACCCCTGGTCCCAACCTATATGTCTGTGTGGAGTTTCTTGGGGTCAGGACCCTCGGACCCCCAGTGGGAGCGGAAGGTGATGGTCGATGGGGAGACATTCCTGGGGTGGCGAGATCCTGGGACAGAGAGAACTGTTGTCAGACCCCTGGTGGTGCAGCATCAGATGCTGAGGGGCTGTGTGAGCTGGGTGAGGGTCCCAGGGACGAAGCCCCTCGCCCTGCCTATGGCCCAGGTCCCTGTGCAGACCCAGGAGGGGTGGGGCTGGCTGGTCGTTGGGGTTCTCCGGGACACCAGCTGCGAGACCCTGTTGTGGGGTGACTGTGTCTCTTTGGGACAGGATCCAGGCCTGGCTCCTGTAACGGCCAAGTGTTTGAATTTGAATCCAGGGAACCCATCGGCGGAGAGGGAAATGGTCAGTGAAAATGCAGATGACCTGGCTGGCAGCGGGGAGGAGGTGCTAGGTTCAGGATACCTGCATGCCTGTAACCAGACCCCTGGGGCTGGGTGGGACAGAGAGATGCTCCCTGCCCTCTTGCACACCGGAGAGGGGGCTCACGCTGGCTCTGATGCAGTGAGGAAAGCAGCGAGCTCGCTGCCTACCCCCACTGGGACAGCAAGGGCAGCGCTGAGCACAGTGGGAGCTGAGACCCCAGCTGAGTGGGGGGGAGACAGGCAGGGCAGGGGATCTGTGGGGAGTGGCAAGGTGCTTGGTAAGGAAAGTTTGGATGAGCCTAGGCAGCCTTGTGTGCTGATGGCTGTGTCTAGTCAGCAGTGTGGGAAGGCGAGGAGAGTGTCCCTGGACCTTACCTGTTACCTGGGTCAAGAAGTGTGACAGTGAAGGAAACGTGCCTGTGTCTGTCAGGGGTATTGACTTGCCTATGGTGGGAGCTACCCTGATCTCCAAGCAGTTGTCTGTGGACAGCCTTGTGTGCTGGGACAAGGGGAATGAGACCCCAAGCTGTGTGTCTGGTAAAGAGAAAGTGTGTCCGGCTCTTCTTTGTCTGTGGAGCAGACAGAAGGGGCCTTTCAGCCTGTGATAGTTGAGGGCAGTGCAGTTGTCTCAGAGTTGGTTCTGGATTCAACTGAAGCCCAGGAAGGGAATGGTCCTAAGTTTGTGTCTGCTCGGGAGAATGGCCCTGTAACTAGGTCGCATTCAGTTAGTGTCTATGCAAAATCCCAGAGACCAGACAATTCTGGAGCTTGTATTTTGCCCATTGCTAGTGTGTGGCTGGGAAAGGGTGTAGCAACTCTGTCTAATCAGAGTGAGACTCTAACCAGGGCACAAAGAGAGCAGAAAGGTGATTTGATTGTGTTACCTACTAAGGGTGTGGAAACCTGTAGCAAGAAAGAAAAGATTCCTGAGCTTGTGTGTGGCAAAGGGAAGGAGAAGGCTTCTAACCTTTTATCTAGGAAATCTGTCAGTTTGTCTGAAAGGGGATTGTGTAGGAATCCGCCTGATGGGCCAGAGGTAATTCTGGATGTCAGTGAGACCCAGAAAGAGTCTGCTGTTGCTCAGGAAAGTGTTCCTCTAGAGCAAGCCCTAGGTAAAGAGGGTAAGAGCAGAATTTCTGTGAAGGGTGAATTGTTGCATTGAAAAGCCCCTAGGGAAAGGAATCCTCATGGAGTCTTTGCAAGCAGTTGACTACAACTGAAGGGTGTGAAAGTGATTTAATCAAGAAACTTTCAGTTCCTAACAGCCAGAAATTTTCTGTTGTGAATGAAGCCACTGACTTTCCTGTTGAAAGATCCAGTGTGGATAGCTTTGAGAAGGTCTCGGATAGAGTGAAAGCTATTAAGAAAGTTACAGTCCTCTAACCAAGTGGCTGTGTTTGGCCAGCTTGTTGGGGAGACAAGGTTGTTGAGAAAGGGATGTCTCCATGCTAGTTCTGTAAGTGAACAGTATGTGGCCCAGGTCAAGATGGGGACTCTTAACCAAGACAGCCCGAATTGCAGCCCTCCAGACTAGAGCGCTGGGAGAAGACCCGATCCCAGTTTGATCCCCGGGGGTTTTGGGGTAGCAAAAGGCACGGGCCGCATAAACCTTCCCACATGTGGCATGCGAGTGCTATCGACCACCCCCGACCTAAGCCAGGGCAAGAAACTGGAAGGGCCTGGTGTAACTCCCACCAAGGAACAGGAGATGCTGGGGCATCCATGCCTGGGCGGACTCGCTGTGGGAAGCGCACGGAGGGGTAGAGGATGCTGAATGCTCCGAGGTCAGACCCAGGAAGGTGGAAGTTGTGTGAGCTGTGTGTCCTGCAGACAGGCTGCTCACAGAAAGGAGACTTCCCCAGAGTCCTGACTGGCTTCGTGGGGAGCAGTTCCAGAGCATCGCCTAGGGACTCCGTGACAGGAGGGCAGAAACTTCCTGAAGAAAAAGACTCCGGTCCCAGCCCCCTGTTCTGCCCCACACTTCCCGGGTGCCCTCGGGCACATCACTCAGTCTCTCTGGGCCTCAGTTCTCCCATCCGGGAAATGGGGCTGGTGGCGCTTCCCGCCGTCGCAGGAGCCTGGGAGGAGAACTACCCTGCGGGTTGGGAAGAGGCTCGGACCCTGGGGTAATGGGCGAGGGGCGCAGGGGGAGCGTCTTAGCACCATCGTTTGGTATCTGGAGTCTGTCTGGAAACAAAATATTTCCCGAAAGTCATTCTAAAAACCTGTATCCAGCCACAGCCTTGGGAAATATTTAACAAAGCTGCATGTTTTTCCCTCGTGTAGCCTGCCCCCGACCCGGCACCAGCCCCCAGTTCTGCCCCCTTCCTGCCACCGCAGCCCCATCTCACCTCCTGACCCTCTCTGGGTGCCCTGGGCCCCTCTTAGCAGGGGGCTGTCCAGGAGGGTGCAGGGGGAGGGGGGTCTCTCCTTGCAGCCATGGGCAGGGCGTGGGGTCTGGTGGATGTCCAGCCCCTCTGGACACACCTGCCAGAGACCCCCAAAAAACCCACTAGTTTCCTCCACATGTGGGGATGGGCTCCTACTTTCTGACTTGGGCTGGGGCGTGATGGGGGGTGCTTCCGTGATGTCAGAGCCCCAGGCGAGAGGGGCTCAAATCATGACTCTGAAGTGGCAGGGCAGCCTCCCTCCCGCCCCTGCTCACATTTGGCTAGGGGGCTGGGCTGGGATCTCTAGGGAGGGAGACACAGGAAAAAACAGCTGCCACTATGGAACCCAGGGGTCCTGGCTCCCAGTCCCCTGCTCTAACCTCTAGACCCCACTGCGTGCCCAGAGCCAGGGAGAGAACCCAGGTGTCCTGGCGCTCAGCCCCCACCCTGCTGTGACCACTAGACCCCACTCCCCTCCCTGGGTGTTGCAGGGGTAACCGTGTCTGTGTCCCAGCTCTGCTCAGGGCCTGGACTGATTTTCCCAAAGTGTTTCCTTCTGAATCTATCACATCTGCCCCCCCCCCCCCGCCTGGTACTGCCCACCCGCGTGTGGGGGCACCAGCACGGTGACTGTTCGTGATGGGAAATCATCCAAGCTGGCCCCAGGGAGACGTCTGTGCTCCGACACACCCAGGGCATATGCTAGCCCACCCCCAAAAGAGAGGGACAATCACTGCCCCCCACACTGGAATATTCACAATCTTGCTCAGAGACATAACCGCACACAGTTCACTCCCACTGCTCCCAACACAAGGACCTCCCACCCCATGCAGCATGTGCCGAGGCCTGTGGAACTCACTGCCACTGGACAGCTACCCATGGGAATGGACCATTCCAGGAGACCAATAGACATAGCTGTGGCAACAGATGAGGATGATCTCCCAGTGTCTGACCCAGGCTGAGACTGGGCTAGAGGGGCCCATGGCTCAGATCTAGAGGGGTCTATCCAGCAGCGGGCAGTGTGACCCACACACAAACCCCCCGGAAGCACCTTTCTTAGCGGATCTCCCAGGCCATCCCGCACATTGCAACGCGGCCCCACCCCCTTGCTCCCACACACTGGCGGGTTGGGTAACTGCTGAGGGATATGCAAGAGGGAGTCAGAGCCAGGGAGAGAACCCAGGAGTCCTGGCTTGCCCCTCTCTGCCCCTCCCACTCTAATCACTAGACCCCCACTCCCTTTTTAGATGTTAGGCTCGCTGCCTCTTCTATCCCTCTCCATCTGCCCATCCCTTTGCTGCAGGTTTTTGGGGTGTCACCCCTGTTCTGTACTCCTCCAGTGCAGCCCAAGGCCTTCCCTCCCCCCAACCACATATCCTCTCCCCCCTGGTACTGGATCATCTGCCTGGTCCCCCCGCTCCCTCTCGGGGTGCGCTGGGCGGCGTGGCTGGGGATTCTGCAATGAGTCAGCACCAGACAACGTGGAACGCAAACCACAAGCCCTGCCCCGCCTGATCTGCCCTCCAGGTACATCGGAGCCCAGCGCCCTGCTCCTCCACCCTGCTGAGCCACAGGGGGCGAGCTGAAGCCCCCCACCACACTCTGCAGACAAAGACTGGGGGGAGGGATAGCTCAGTGGTTTGAGCATTCGCCTGCTAATCCCAAGGTTGTGAGTTCAATCCTTGAGGGGGCCATTTGGGATCTGGGGCAAAAATTGGGGATTGGTCCTGCTTTGAGCAGGGGGTTGGACTAGATGACCTCCTGAGGTCCCTTCCAACCCAGATATTCTATGATTCTATGAAGGGTCAGGCCAGCCAGCCCTTGTAGGATGAGGGACTCTCCACTGGAGTTGACAGTATGGGGGCTGTGATGCGTGGAGAAGCAGTTGTCACTGCAGCTGGCAGAGGGCAGCAGAGCATGCACGCACACAATTGCAAACATACACAAACACAAGCATGAATCCAGCCACACACACACACACATTACTAACATACACCAACACCCGCACAGCCACACACACAACCCCCCACCCCATACCTACACAAACACCATTCCACACACAAAACCCCTGCAGAACCCAATTCATACACAAACATGCACAAATCCATACACTCACTCACACACACCCCTTTCCCCTCCTATACACACAATTTCAGTCACTGTGACACTTCAATTGGATGGGGGTGTCTATTCTCTGCCCCCCCAGGGCAAATAGGGGGTGGATTGGGGGCCAAGGGGGCACAATCCAATGCCAGTCAAGAGGGTGTTGGGGGAGGGGGCCGTGGTTTCTGCACCACATGGTTCCTGGCACAGGCTTTTTTGAGGATTTGCATTTCTTGGTAGTTTTTACCCCATTACCACTTCCTGCCCAGCCCCCTCCTGCTGTGTGAGATGGTTAACGGGGAGATGGGAAGAACCCAGGAGTCCTGGCTCCCAGCCCCAGCTGTGCTAACGTACCAGACCCCACTCTAACCCCAGAGCTGGGAATGGAACCCAGGAGTCCTGACACCCAGCCTCCCTTCCTCCCTCTAACAACTAGACCCCACTCCTGCCCATTTTGGGAGCCAGGACGCCTGGGTTCTATCTGGGCTCTGGGAGGGGAGTGAAGGCTACTGGTTAGAGCAGGAGGAGCCAGGACGCCTGGGTTCTATTCTCAGTGCTGCTGTGTGACACCAGGCCTCTCTTTTCCTCCCATTTTTTGGGTATGGAGACTGTAAACTCTTTGGGGCAGGGCCTGTCTCTCACCTCGCCCAACAGGGCCCTGATCTCAGCTGCGGCAGGGACTGTCCTTGTGTCTGTGCAGCCCCCAGCACAACGGGGGCCTTGCTTCTGCCCCGGTCTCTTTAGGTGCTGCTGTGTACGGATCAACAGACCTGAATACTAAAAGCCATGGCACCGCCATTGCCCTGCAAGGGCTAACTGGGATTCTTACCCCTGTGACCCTCTGTGCATCCCCCCCCGACAAGTTCCCCGAGTCTCTGCCCTGAGCCCCTCGTGCCGCTGCCCTCATCAATGGCAGTGAAGAAAGCCGCCCAGCCCTAGCAACAAATGAAGACAGGGAGCGGGGGAAAAAAAAAAAAAAAAAAAGCTTTGCAAAAAATTGGTCACACCAGTAGGAAACCAGCAGCGGTGGTTTGCGACTACACCCGCCCCCCTGCGCTTATCCGTCCCCCTCGGGGAGCAGCGCTGGACGGAACAATCCAAGTAGGTTCTGGACATGTTCCTCCACCTGCCGGCGTCTGGGCTCCAGCCGGCGCTGGGCTGTGTTCAGTTCCTCTCTCTGGTGCCCCCCCCCTTTCTGGTACAAAAAAATTTCCTCTTCTCATTTGTCGCACTCGATGTCACTGAGCTTAAAGAACCCCAACCAAAGCGCCCCAGGGAGAGACACCCACGGCCCTGCTCAGCTGAAGCCCTGCAAAGGAAGACGCCTTCCCCTACCCATTCCCAAGCATATGGGAAGGGGGTTGGGATTGGGGAGCATGGATGGTCAACCCAAGCAGAGGAGGAAGGATCTCAAGCCAGAAGGGAAGTGGGAGGGCCTGTGCCCCCAACATGGAGAATTTGGGGTGGAACCTTGCTTAACAGGTCAGTCTGTCCTTTCTGTCTCTGTCCCCTTCTAGCTTTATCTAGCGCTCCTGTTTGTTCATTTGTTCTTTTTTGTTCCTTTCCTTCTGTAGCTTGCAGGTTCTTGCTTGCTTTTTTCCCCCTCTACCTTTCATGCTCTTTCTTTCCTTCATTTTCTATTGTTTTTACTCTCCCTTTATTTCTTTCTCTGCCTTTCACACTCTTTTCTCTCTCGCTGGTTATTTTTTTTCACTTGCTCTTTTTCCTCGCTCCCTTCCCAGCCAAATGGGTTCTCCTTGTGCACAGATGTAGGGGCAGGTTTCCCTCCTGACCACCAAGTGGATTAAACACGCCCCACGAGCATATTATGGGTTACCCAGCAGCTCCACTGACAGGACCACGGCTGGCCCGGGAAGCTGGGAACCTGCATCAAACCGAAAACCCGCTGGCATCAAGGGAACAAGATCCGTGTCCAAGACCCAGTTGGATTTTGGGGGCGGCCTTCGATACTTAGAGGAGGGGCAGGGAAGACGTTTCTCGGGCTCAGAGCCACTTTGATCGTCTCCAAGATTCTAACGCTTTGCAATCGTGCTGGGCTACTACATTTGTTCCTCAGTAGAGAAAGCCGGGGCTTAAAGCCTGTTTGTACAGCAGGGAGCAAAAGGGGGGGGGTCCCAGAGCCAGCAAGGAAATCACAAGGGCTATGAAGATTAATCCACCGTCATTCCTGGAAATCAGTGGCAGCGAGGCACCAAAAAGCTTGGGAAGGTCTGAGCCTGCTGGACAAAAGCTACTGCACCCAGAGATTGCTCAATCCTCCGCACTTGGTTCTGCGGCCACGTTAAGCACAGTCCGGCAAGAGGATGTTTTAACCAGCAGGCTGTGGGGAATTAGCAGCCTTGGTAATGACAGTGGGGTCTTGTTGGCTCCCTGGCCAGCGGCATCTTGGCTGTGTCCAGGGGGATTGTTTGATTTGCAGGGTGCTGTGGGGCTTTTTTGGGGCGGTGCCCTGAGAGGGGCCTCCCGCCCCCCAATGATAGGTGCTGTCTACCCCCACTTCCTAGCTGGGGGTGTCCCCCACCAGCAAAGCATCCCTCCACTTGATTTCCAACAGGAAGGGGGAGGGGGTGAGTGTGGGAGCCAGGGCTCCTGGGTTTAGGCCACTCACCTCTCCCTGTTCCATCCCTCAGTTTTTCCATGGAAGAGGAATAAGGACAAAGTTGCCCCCAAACCCCCCCAAAGGCTTCAGAGGTGGTTCTGCAAGGAGGGGATGGCTGCAGCCAGGGCGGCGAGTTCAGGGGTGGGATCTGAGGGGCTGTTGCTACCTCAGCACAGGAATTAACCCCTGGGCTCAGGTGCCTGGGACAGGGCCGTCTTTACTGGCCCCTAGGGCAGGGCACAAGGGAGGGTGGGATGGTCCAGGCAGAACCACAGGCCAAGCCAGCCTGGAGCAGCCAGATAGAGCTGGTGCCCCCTAGCAGGGGACCATTCCCCACCCACCTGAGCCTGCCAGTCCCTGCCCTGGGACAGGTCGGAGCTGGCGTCCCCCAGAGGGGAAAGGCCCCATGTCCCAGTCCCTGCCATAGACCTGAATGCGCATTAGTCAGTTTATTCAGAACAATGGGAATTACAGAACGCCACAAAACCCACGTGGGATCCCCCCCACACCTGACACTGCTCCCCCATCTCCGCTCAGCCCCACCAACCCTCCCACCACCAGCATCTGGGTCACCCCCCCTTACACTGACCCCCCACCTTGCGGAAGAGGGGACAGCTGGGTTAGGCCCCCAATAACTCCACCCCAGATAGGCGCGTCCCACCCACACTCCTTCCCTAACATGGGTGTGGCTACCTACAACTGCACCCCTTTGGGGGCGGAGGCTCCCCGAGCCCCTCCCAGGCAGGACAGGGCCATCAGGCCCAGCTGTGCTGCTGGAGGGTCTTGAGGGCCAGGGTCCAGCGCTCCAGCCACTGCTGCAAGGTGAGGCCCTGGCGGTGCTCCGCCGGCAGGGAGAACTGCCCCGGCTGCTCCCACCTGAACACAGGGACGGGGAGAGAGAGGGCAGCAGGTGAGATGGCTCCTTCCGGCCCCCCGCCCCAGTTCCCCCCCCAGCACAGACACCACCATGTCCACACTCAAAATCTGCCCCCCCCACATCATCCCTTATGGCATATGCCCCCCCCGGCCGCTCCCTAGGTACGCCCATTCTCCAGAGGCACCAGACCACCCCCTTCCTTCCCACCCCAGCCCCCAACCCCCCAATCAGTCCCTCCTGTGCCCCCCCCTCCACTTGGGCAAGCCCCCTTCTTCCTCACAGCCCCCACCCCACCCCTGGCAGGGGAGAACCAACCCTGGACCCCCTCCCAGCACAGGATGGGCAGGGCCTCCCCCCTCTGGAGAACAAGGCGTCCCATAAACCAGGTGGGCGGGGGCTCCTCACCAGGCGTCGATTGTGGCCTGCACCTCAGGCCAGCGCTCCATGCGGCGCTCGCACTGCTCGGTCACCAGCTGGATCCGCGGCCCCAGGGCTCCGGCCTGCTCCCGGTCGTGGTCCCGCAGGGCCTGCAGCAGGACTGGGGGAAAGAGACATTGGTGAGGCCCGGAGGAGTTATGGCTGGAGCGGGGTGCTGAGCTGCGCTGGGCGGATGCCATGGTCCTGCCACCCTTCAGGCCGGCTCGTGTGCCAGGAGGGTGCCCCTCGCAGACTCTGGGAAGGGGCCGCAGGCTGGGGGTCGCCCCCCTGGAGCCATGGGGAGAGCTCACCTTGCACGTCGGTCCCCTGGCGCTGCTGCAGGCTGGCTAGCGCCTGGCTCTTGTAACTCAGCTGGGCACGCAGGGCCAGCAGCTCCTTCTTCAGCTCAGCCATGTGGGGCAGGAGGTGCTCCGGGGCCTGGGGCAGAGACAGATAGACACAGGGGGTGAGGGGAGACAGGACCTGCCCCCTCTCCCCCAAGATCACCCCCCAGGGAGCTCTGAGGAGGTTTAATGCAGAATAAACTTGGGGGGTGCTCCTGCCCCACCCCCTCCCCGGGGCCCCCCATCCCATCTCTTCCCAGAAGAGGGGTTCACTCCCACCCTGTGGGGAGACATTCCTGCTCCCTGCCCCATTGCTCCACCAAGTGTGCGTCTCACCTTGTAGAGAGGGAAGCCGGCAGCCTGGCACACAGTGAGGAAGGCCCGGTGCTGGGCGAGCCCCGTCCGGTCCAGCCGATGGATGGAGAGCTCGTGGGCCGGGACCTGCTGGGACCTGGAGGCGGGGGACGACCGGGTCAGGGCAGCTGAGGATCAGCCCCTGAACCCCTCACCCTCAGGCATCCCCCATCCCCACCGGGCACCCCAGCCCACAGCCCTCCCGCTCCCCAGGAAGGGCTGGCGGGGCCCCGTCCTCACAGCAGCCTGCTGGCATAGTACAGCATTGGTACCCCCGGGAGAGCAGGTACCAGTGTTCCCAGAGTATTAATACCCCAGAGAGTATCAATGCTCCTCTCACCGCTAGAGGCTACCGATGCTCCTAGAGCATTATCAGCCCAGAAAGTATTAATCCTCCTACCACAGATCTCGGGTACCAAGGCTCTCAGAGCATTACCCCCCCCCCCCCCCCCCCCCGGAGGGAGTATTCATGCGCCCACCAGAGTATTAAAGCCCCTGCCCTATTCTCAGGGTATTAGCTCTCCGCCCAGAGAATATGGGGTTTTCATTAGTATTCCCCAGCACCAACGCTCCTGCTCGTCTCCGTGCCCCGACTGCAGCATTAATCCCACTGCCTAACCCCCCCAACGCATTATTAAGGATCTACAACCTATCCTAAAGGATGACCCAACACTCTCACAAGTCTTGGGAGACAGGCCAGTCCTTGCCTACAGACAGCCCTGCAACCTGAAGCAAATACTCACCAACAACCACATACCACACAACAGAACCACTAACCCAGGAACTTATCCTTGCAACAAAGCCCGTTGCCAATTGTGCCCACATATCTATTCAGGGGACACCATCACAGGGCCTAATAACATCAGCCACACTATCAGAGGCTCGTTCACCTGCACATCCACCAATGTGATATATGCCATCATGTGCCAGCAATGCCCCTCTGCCATGTACATTGGTCAAACTGGACAGTCTCTACGTAAAAGAATAAATGGACACAAATCAGATGTCAAGAATTATAACATTCATAAACCAGTCGGAGAACACTTCAATCTCTCTGGTCACGCAATCACAGACATGAAGGTCGCTATCTTAAAACAAAAAAACTTCAAATCCAGACTCCAGCGAGAAACTGCTGAATTGGAATTCATTTGCAAATTGGATACTATTAATTTAGGCTTAAATAGAGACTGGGAGTGGCTAAGTCATTATGCAAGGTAGCCTGTTTCCTCTTGTTTTTTCCTACCCCCCCCCCCCCAGATGTTCTGGTTTAACTTGGATTTAAACTTGGAGAGTGGTCAGTTTAGATGAGCTATTACCAGCAGGAGAGTGAGTTTGTGTGTGTATGGGGGTGGGGGGGATGTGAGAAAACCTGGATCTATGCAGGAAATAGCCCGACTTGATTATGTAAAGAGTTGTCACTTTGGATGGGCTAGCACCAGCAGGAGAGTGAATTTGTGTGGGGGGGTGGAGGGTGAGAAAACCTGGATTTGTGCTGGAAATGGCCCACCTGTTGATCACTTTAGATAAGCTATTACCAGCAGGACAGTGGGGTGGGAGAAGGTATTGTTTCATATTCTCTGTGTGTATATAAAGTCTGCTGCAGTTTCCACGGTATACATCTGATGAAGTGAGCTGTAGCTCACGAAAGCTCATGCTCAAATAAATTGGTTAGTCTCTAAGGTGCCACAAGTACTCCTTTTCTTTTTGCGAATACAGACTAACACGGCTGTTCCTCTGAAACCTGCCTAAGTACTGATGCTCCTCCCAGAGGACCAGCACCCCCAGCTTGGGGCAGAGGAGCAGAGTACCAGTACTGCTCTGCAGGCACCTCCCTCCCTCCCTCCAACCGGCAGATCTCAGGGTGCTTTTCCCAGGGTGGGTCTCAGCCCCGTTTCAATGGGACACAGGTGGGGAGGGAAGGGGAGGGGGGAGAAAATCCCAGGAATCCTGCATACCCCAAGTCCAGTAGTGCAGGAGGGGGAGCACAGGTACACCCCCAAGGCCAAGGTGCGCCCCCCCATATGGGGACCCAGCCCCTGGGGCAGCCCAAGAGGGGACAGTTGGCCCCAGGACCCTGCTCGCTGTGGGGGAGAGCAATCAGACAGAGCAGGAGGGTGGGGGGAGACTCACCCCGGGAGGCTGCGGTGCAGCAGGCAGGGGAGGGCGATGGCCCCCAGCTGCCGGACCTCGCGCTCCACCCCCCCGTGCAGCCGCTGCGACTCCAGGGTCACGTCCTGTTCCGGGCCCAGCAGCTTCCTCTGCACGAAGGCCTGGACCTGAGAGAGAGAGAGCGGGGTTTGGGGGAGACCATGCTGCTGCCCCGCCCTCCCAGCCCTGGGCCCCACTCCCCCAGCCCTGCCGGTGCCCCTCAGGCCCGACCCACAGCCTCCTGGTATCCCAGCCCTGGACTCCCCCATCCTCTGTCAGTGCCCCTTGATCCCGCCCCATGGCATGGGAGGGTGTCTCACCTCGGCCTGGTCCTTGTGGAGCTGGCATTTGATGTAGGAGGTGCCTTTGATCAGCGCCCGGACCTGCTGCTGCTTTTCGCGCTGGGGGGAAGGGGGTAGAGAAAGTGTCAGTCCTGGGGCTGCTTCAAGACAGTGTCCCTGCTCCCCCCGGGCCAGTAAGGCACCCCAGATTCAACCCCGCAATCGCTCCCTTTCCCATAGAAGGAACCCCCCCGACCCCCAACTTGTCCACTCCTTCCTTTCCCTGCCTCCCCTCCCGCCCATCATCCCCAAACCCATATACTCCCCTCAGCATGCACCCCCTCTACTTCCTTCCCCACAGGCCAGCCAGGTACCCTGTGGATCCCCCTCCAGGAACCCCCCACCCACGGACACCCTCCCAGCCAACCCCACCTCATCCTCCTGTGTGCCCTACTGCCTCCCCACCCCCCAGGCAGGTCCCACGTCCAGAGGTTGCCCTGCTCTGGCCCCCAGATTCCCCCCCGCGCTTCCCGCACTCACCACCAGGTGGCGGAAGTCCAGAATGCGCTGACGCTTGCTCTGCAAGGCCTGCAGCTCCGCATGGCGGGCACTTGCCTCCTGCTCCAGTTCCTGGCAGCCTCGACGCAGCCCATCCCGCAGCCCTGCCAGCCGCACAGCCCGCAGCTCCAGCTCCAGCACCGCCCTGGGGGCCGGGCGGGACAGGCCAGTTCAATGGGGGGGTGGGGGGGAGTCTCCCCAGCAGGGGGTGCTCACCACAGGGCCCCGAGAGCGCAGGGGGACCCCACAGGACAGGGAAGTCTCCCCAGCAGGGAGTGCGCTCCAGGGGGCCCTGACAGAGCCGGGGTACCCCTGGGGTGGGAAGTCCCGCCAGCAGGGAGCGCTCTCCCAGCGGTGGGTGGTCACGAACTGTGCAGGGCTGAGTTCAGGGGGCGGGGTGTCTCCCAGGGCCTGCAGCAGCTACCTGGCGAGGATCGCGTGCTCCGAGCCGTCCGCCACCAGCCGGTGCATCTCCTGCACGAGGGAGGCCAGCTGGGCCGTGCAGTGCTGCTCCCGGGCCTGTAGGGGGAGCTGCTGCACCCAAAGCCCCACAGCACCCCTCTCTCTCGAGCTCTGACTCTGCCCCCACCCCCAAGTACAAGCCACCACCACTGGGGGGCGATAGCTCCGTACAGCACCACACCCCCACACTGTCAGCCCCTTAGCGGTACCCACTTGAGGGCCTCTACGTCGCGGGGAATGTCAATGCGGCTGGTGAGCTCCTGCATCTGCAGGGTGTTCTCCAGGGCCAGGTGCTCCAGGGCTGCCTGGACATGGTTGGGAGGGTGGGAACCCACCATGTCCTGCGTAGGCAGAGAGGTGGGATGAGCCAGAGTGGACCAGGGACGCTGTACTTTCCCTCACGGCTGGCTCCAATGCCCCATACGGGGCTAGAGGGCGCAGCGCTGCTCCTTCCCAACCAAACCCCATCGCCAAATCCCACAGGGAGATCACCAGAGCCCCATGCTGGCATTCACAGGGCTCAGATTACCGGGTACCCCTTGTCACTAGAGCCTGCCTTGGCATCTCCAGATTCCCCCCCATGAGATCCAGGACTGGGATCCCCAGATCACCACCCCCAACTAGCAGAGGGGAGCAGGATTCTCAAATTCCTCTCCCCCCCGCCCAGGATCTACCCACTATCCTCTCCCCAACTCACCAGTACTTCAGGCTCCAAGCCAGCAAATCCGAGGTCAGGCAGCTTCCCTCCCACCGTCAGCTCCACCTTGGCCTTTCTGCAGAGACCAGAGGAGGCTGTGAAAATTGGCGGGGGGGGGGGAAGGGGAGGAAGGGGGGG